TTTTTTCCAAAACTATTTTTTTCTTAAATCCCGATAATAATAATTCATTTTCTTGTTCCCATTTTGCAGATTGATGTTTGATCCATATGTGAATACAATTTATGACTATGTTGGAGGAATTGATGATATTAGAAAAGCTAAAGTATACTTTCTGTAAACTAAGTCTCTTTAGACTTTTTTTATGGTATTAATGTAATTTTGGTTTTAGGTGCGGACTATTCATCCTGCCAGCTTCTCATTGGTGGAAGATTGTGGTTAGTTTTTTAATTTTAGTTTATTTTAATTCAACCAATAAGCTTTATTCAATCTTAAATCTTAAATAATAAATATTCCCCTTTGTTGAAGCTCGTATACTACGTGCCATTAGAATCGCTGCTCGTTTAGGGTTTGGTTTTTCAAGAGATACCGCCCGTGCAATAAAACACCTTGCACACTCTGTTCTTCCGCTCGATAAGGTATTAGAATGAGGAGGGTATTTACGTCTTTTATCCTACTTCTTCTGTGTAGGACAAAAACCTGTACTTTTTGTCCTATTGACGTCTGTCTCAGTCCTATACAGGTCAAACATAGTACAAGACTGTCATGTTCTCACATTCTGATCTTTTCTGTTTTGTCCTGTTCTGTTTTGTGTTGTTCTGTGTGATATGGATATTAATTAAAATATTATGATATGTTTGGGTTTATTTGTTAAAGGGGAGGCATCTTATGGAAGTGAATTACATGTTAGCATATGGTTCTGCTGAACCTTCATTAAGGTTATTATGGAGATTTGGTCTCTTAGAATTACTCTTACCAATTCAGGTAACATTTTTGTCACTAATTTTTAACTAATTTATATGTATTTTGAGTTTTTGACATGCTATTGTATTTTCAGGCTGCATATTTTGTTCGTGATGGTTTTAAGAGACGTGACAAGAAGACTAACATGCTCTTGGTATTTATCAAGCTTAATAAAACCTATTCATAAAATAAAATTTTTAACCTTTATATTTATTTAACTATTATTTCGTAAACTGCAGTCATTGTTTTCAAACATGGATAAGCTCCTTGCACCAGATCGACCATGTCATAGTAGTTTATGGTACGATGGAATGGAATGGAATCACAAAGGGAATGGAATGACCGAATGAGCATATTCCATTCCGGTGTTTTCCTTTTTTCAATTACTTCATGCAAATACCAAACACTACCTAATCAATATGTTTACAGGGTGGCAATTTTAGCGTTCCACATGGCGTTATTAGATAAACCAAGGGACCCTTTGGTTGTTGCTGTATTTAGTCTTGCTATCAACAATGGAGGAGATATGGAAGAAGCTGTTAGCATAGCTAAAAGGATTTCCAAACCACATGCTAAAGGAATCTACCATGAATTATCAGAGCCTCAAGATCTTGACTTAAAGACACTGAAAAAACAGGTTTTGGATCTTGGGGTGTTTATTAATAGGGCACTGTCTAACATGACTGATTCGTATTATGTCTCACAAGCAATGAGTAGTTACCCCAAAGCACCTTATTCTGATTTGGTAAGTTGATTAGGGTTTTTTTTTGGATATTGAAAGTTGGTTTGCTATTTATTTTATTTATTTGTGCAGGTGTTTGTGTCTTTGCATTTGTATTTAAAGGGAGTGAAGATATTTGAGTGTGTTAATAAAGGTAAGGAGGTGGGATTTGTGGGGAAGCAAGGTGGGAAGATTGATTATGAGTTGTTAGGTATGGGGAGTTTACAGGAAGTGAGGCATGTGTTTGCTAGGGTTGTGTTTGATACTGTGTACCCTTTAGACATTGGTTGTGGTTAAGGTTCATTGGTGTAGTGTGTGATGTTATATATCAACTAATTGAAGTTAAAGAATCTGTGGATTAAAAGAAAATGGTAGAAAATAGTATTTAGAAAAAGTTGATTTGTTATATTATGTTTATTTATTTTGCATAAGAAAACCTTGCCATGGGGTCTATGTAAATTCTGGTTTGGGTTTTTTGATGGGGATTGATTCATTGTATTTTCAAGTATTATAGTTGTTTTTGGGGTAATGACTAATGAGATTCTTAGAAATACTAATTTGAGAAAGGTTGATTGTTGGAGTTGAGGTTGATTATGAGTTGTATTTTTGTGTTCTTTGGGTTGGAAATAAATGGAAAGGAAATAAACATTCTGAAGAAGAAAAAAGAAATTTACATTCAAAGGCTTATGATGAGCAAAACTAAGACCAATGGGTATAATAACCGTATTTTTTTTGTCAACTCAGCATCATGTTATTTCCCCATTCTCTCCACACGCTTAGAGTGTGTTCCCAAGTATTTTTAAGAAGAAAAGTGAAAGTGAATGGAAATACACGAGGAAAAAAAAAGCGTTTCCCAAATTTTTAGGGGAATGTTTTATTTTTCATACATTTCATGTAATCCGGAACTCTAAATTGTTCTGTGGACTACCATTAATATAAAACAATTCAGAATGTGACATTTTCTTTTCCCATTCAATAGTTCAATGGGCATTCATTGAATGCGAACTTGACATTCCATCTCATTCAACTTAAAAATGGTCTAAAAAGCGGCGCAAATAAGATCGACGGTTAGGGATAATTCAAGGTAATTGTTAGTTTTCATGTTATTGATTGGTATTTGGGCAACCCTACAATTTATGTCGAACTGGAGGATCATTGTTGCAAATCATATAATAAAGTTCAATTACTCATTGTAGATGTTTAGTTTTGTGATTTATGGATTTACATTTTGAAGATCAGAACGATAATCATGAAAATCGAGTTCAATGAGTTTTGAGTGAGATTTACTTGAATCTAAGATTTGTTTATATGTAAAGACTAGGTTAGAAACATTTTTTATATCATATGATGTTAGTATATTTGATTCTATATCGAATTCATTCATTGTGTCAAGAAGAAAACCATATTAACTTTGACAAATCAGGCAATCAGAACACCTCAGAGAAAATTGTTTACCCGATTAGTTGGACACCTCATTAGATGATGGCCAAGATGAAGGGAGAATGAGAATACACTCTGTACAAAAAGGTTTAACCAAAAACCTTGAATAGTAAGGGAAAAAAATCCCTAAATGACTACTAATGCTATTTATCCATCAAAATTCGTTGAAAATATTGAATCACTCAATTTTGTCAGTTTGTCTGGTGGTTTTCTTTCGTATAGGAGGAGCACCACCTGTAGTAGGCCTACAAAGAAAAAAAAAATCTTTTTAAATACAATGTATATTGTATATTCTAATATTCTTATTGGAAATAAAGAAGAAAATTTTACTAATATAGTCCAAGGTTAGAAGAAATTTACAGGCCAACAAGAACTTTGAAAGCATCATAGATGCCCCATTGTGCTCCAGTAAGAGTTCCAATCATTAGAATACGAAGAGGAAGACCACGTGTGAAAAGACCAAACAACCCTATCTCCTTTACAGCCTGCACCAAAGTTTAATAAACCACGTGTCTAAAAATAAATGTTTTTTTTTTTTTTTTTTTAATAATATTATATGAGGATATATATATATATGATGACTCACATTGCCAACAGTAGCTCCTTGTGAGTTATTAAGGAAAGAAACCAAATTATCAGCAGGGTGAGAAATAATGGCACAGAATACACCAGCAACATAACCACCAACAAAGCTCACTCCAAGCTGCAAGCTTTTGCTACATTGATCTTTGGGTATGGGAATTGCATGCTTGTATATCATCTCTACAATTGTCTCAAATGATGCAAACTTCATCATTGTATCTGAACATATTTACATTTTTGCCACTGTCAATTGTCAGTCAATTCTCCTTGAATCTATAATATTCTATCAACTTACATGGAATTTGTCGCCCCCAAAGAGGTACCAACCCCTTGTACAACCTGTTGAAGAATTTGCAAAAAATTAAATAGAGAAACAATTGGTCTAAAATTGGTTACAGTTTATGTTTATGATGCTCCTACCCTGCAGTGCCTTCAGCATTGATGAACTTTGGGAAGCCATCTGAGAAACCCTTGGCAAATCCTGGATTTGTTTGGACACGAACCTTAACTGCTTCAAAAGGGCAAAGGGCAATATCGGCAATAAGTTCTGCAGAAGCAGAACCAGCGAGGTAGATCAAAGTTTTATACTTGGCTGCATTTTCTGGACCAGAAATGTCTGAGTAGGCTCTCTTGAAGAACTCATAAAACCCAAATTTGCAAGCACCTTGCACACTGTAACCTAGCAATGTTGGCACCCAGCCTGTGAAAAATCCTTTGATTCCTTGCTCCTTCAGTAATGTTCCAAAACCAGAAGATATGCTCTTGAATTTTGCAGGGTTAATCTGAACATTTGGATATATGTTATATGTATGCAATTTCAGGATACAAAACTGAATTGATAACGACCTAATTGAGATTCTGATGTCCTGTTACTATTTCATCTTCTTGTTTTAGTATCCTGTAAGTGCCTATAGCTTTCTGATGTCGCCATTAAAGAATGGCTTATCGAGGTTATCAAGAGCTATATTTAAATACTCTAAAACTTTGTTTATAATATTTGCTGTAATGCGCCTATCAAACTCAATATATAAAGCTGGAATGTATTAATTACAGTATTAAATATACATTCCACTTGCAGATCAGAATTTCGTATAAGGCATGGCGAAATGAAAAACGAAACCTAATGACAAATCATAAACCTCGCAAGTGATTAGCTAAATTGATGCGTATCAACGACGCACATACGTGTCTACTACTCTAAATCAGATTATGATCGTCTTGAGCAATGTAAAAGGCACCTTCGAATAAGATTTTTGAAACCATCACATTCATAGATTCAACTAATAGTTTCTACTCATACAACAAACATTCATATGGACAAGAGATTGAGATAGAAACCGACCTGCATATTGCATTTGATAAGATCGAGCGGAGTGACCGCCATGTGAGTAAGTCCACAGCTAAAAATGCCGCCTATGCTACACGCTGCGTAATAAGCAGGCGAAAACATCTCCATACCTAACTCACTCGGAGGCGACAAAGACGAAGACGAATTCCGTCGTTTGGCAATCAAATGCTCAAATTCGATGAGATTCTTCGAAGAAGACGAAGACGAGTAGAGGAACATCGGGATCACAGATTGCAGCGAATCATCCATTAGCACAATCGCGATTGTGCGTTGTGTTGCTCCTTGCAGATAGCTATGCTACACCTCTGTGAATGAAACTGGAAGCCTGAGAATGTTAGTGCGCATTCCAAGGGTTTTTCACGGTTTGTTGGTTTCTTGCCAGGGTTTATACTTTTGGGCTGTCACATTTCGAATTCGAATCAACGTTGATTCTTGCTATGAGCCTACAAGGTTACAACAATAAATCCATATAAATAAATTAATTCATTTATAAATTGTATTTTGTTTTTTGTTTTTTTATGCTAAAACAGCTCAATGGATAATGTAATGGGTCGGAGGAGCCAAAGGTCAGTCATATATGTATTTAAGTAAAGCGTTATTATATTTCGAACCTTTATTATTATTATTATTATTATTATTATATATATTAAAGGACATTGGAAGTTTCAAAAAATTTTATTTTTATAGTTTGGGAAAACTACAATAAAGTCCCTACATATTGGCCTCATAATCGATTTAGTTCCTATATATTTTTTTTATTCAATTAAGTCCCAAATACCGGTAATCGTATTCAATTTAATCCTTTGACCCGGTCAACAGGTCATCCAACTTTCAAAAATTACATTTTTGGCCCAGATTTCAAAATTTATTACAAATTTGGTCCAAAATTTACACTTTTGGCCCGGATTTTAATTTTTTTTTACAAATTTGGTCCAAACTTTACCTTTTTTGCTCAAATTTTAGAATTTTATTATGAATTCATCCTAATTTTAGTTTTTTTGCAACTTTTTTTTTTCAAAAAATTGTTTCTAATATGTTTTTTCTTTATAAAATCATATTTATACCAAAAAAATGTATTTTCACATAAAAATCTTATATTTTCTATATAAAACTTTTTTTAAAAAGTTTTTTGTATATGAAATATCTAGTTATAAAAATATGTATTTATTTAGTATATAATATATATAAATTTGTTTTTATAAAAAAATGTATACACACCTATCACCTTTATATATATATATATATATATATATATATATATATATATATATATATATATATATATATATATGCACACAAATAGGTGTGTATCTGTATTTTTTTTATAAAATCGTGTTTGTTTATATTTTTTTTATAAAAACGTGTTTGAATAATTTTTTATATAATACGTGTTCGTATACATTTTATAAAAACGTGTTTAAATAAGTTTTTATATAATACATGTTTGTATATATTTTATAAAATCGTGTTTGTATACATTTTATAAAATGTATACAAACACGTATTATATAAAAAAAATATTCAAACATGTTTTTATAAAAAAAATATAAACAAAAACGATTTTATAAAAAAATAGATAAAATAGGTGTTTGTATACATTTTTTTTCATAAAAACGGATTTCTATATATTTATATACTTAATAAATACTTATTTTTATAATTAAATATTTCATATACAAAAAACTTTTTGAAGAAAGTTTTTTTATAACTAAATATTTCATATACAAACACGATTTAATAAAAAAAATATAGATACACACCTATTTGTGTGCATATATATATATATATATATATATATATATATATATATATATATATATATATATATATATATATATATATATATATATATATAAAGGTGATAGGTGTGTGTACATTTTTTTATAAAAACAAATTTATATATATTTATATACTAAATAAATACATA